CCACATGCGTACAGACAGACAGATGTGAAGCAGCAAAATATAGACGGTTGTATTGCTTACTTTTGTATTTTTGTGGCAAAACACCACAACCAAGGTGACTTATAGAAGAGTTTATTTTGGCTTATGGTTCCAGAGAGTTGGCATTTATAATTATTGGTAGCAGCCATGACAACTGGAGCAAGAAGCTAAGAGCTGTGCCCCTAGCCACTCACTGAGGGAATTTAGGCAGAAACTCTACCACTGAGCCACACCCAGACCCTTACTGGAGAATTCTAGCCAGGAGTTCTACTGTTGAACTACATTTTGAGACTACCTCTTACTCTGTTCCTCCAGTACAAACTTTAACTTACTCTGTAGCTGAATGTCTGATCCTCCTGCCACAACCTGTTTCCCTGGTGGTTGGAATGACCATCTGTTCCCCTTCCTTTCAAACTAATTGTAAACTAATTTGTCATGTTGTCCTTATACAAACACCATGATAACTATATTCACAGTAAGTTACTAAGGCTCAAGACACTCCCATCCAGTCCCAAGTCAGACCACAGAATGCAGTCCCCATCATGAGACTTTGGCCTTGGGCCATGTTAACCTTCCCAACTTGGACTCCCAAATCAAGCATCAGGAGAGCCCTGGAAACCCTGCCTAAACCAGGTGTGGTGGTTCATGACTGTGATCCCAGCAACTCGGGAGGTTGGAAGTGGGAGGATCAAGAGTTCAGGTCAACAATGGCTACTTGAGCAGTTCGAGTCTAGCTGGGCTCCATGAGACCCTGTTCCAAAGGGGTCAGCGGAGTGAGGGAAAAGACCTGGTTTTTGAAAGATTTGTTGTTTTATTTTGAAATCCCTAGATGTCACTGTGCATGTCTGTCACTCTGTTACCGTCTTCACTAGTAAAGCTGGTTTTATGACTAAACACTGGTCCCCAGGAGCAGGTGAAACACGTGTGTGTGTGTGTGTGTGTGTGTGTGTGTGTGTGTGTGTGTGTGTGTGTGTGTGTGTGTGGTGTTCACTGTTTTCTTTAACTACCAGCCCACATTAGCTGGAGGTACTTAAATAAATAATATTTTTGCAAAACATCTGGCACCCACAGAGCCACCTCCTTCACACTCAGTCCTGCTGAGCCATTCTGCCTCGGGGTGTGACAGAAAAGAACGTGGCCTCACAGGTCAATCAAATGCAGAGTTGTTCACCCTGTGACTTCAGGTGAGGGACTTCCTTCTGTCCAGTCTCACAGTGCCCTTCTCCTCTAAAGTGAGAGAGAACGAAGCATACTGGAAGGATTACCTAAAGGTATGCATGAGAAACACGGGCACAGAGAGGATACTGAGTCCAGTGCAGTGGAGGAAGAGGGTTCCATTTCTTGGTGACCTACAGAATATGTGTCAGATGCTTCTCAGACCTTGTAGCTGATTTTTTACAAGACTTTATTTATGTGTAGTGTGTATATGTCTATGTGTGGGTAGGTGCACCTCTATGGTTAGCTAGTGGCAAGCTCTATTCTCTGACCTTCACACAGGCTTTATTTGTACAAGCAAGACATCACCACAACAGGTGGTTGTGAGACACTTGACCTGGTTGCTGGATACTGAACCCTGGTCCCCTGGAAGAGTAGCAATTGCTGTTAGCCACTGAGTTGTATCTCCAGCCCCACTTGTTTATTCTCATAAGGAGTGGATGGAGGATTATCACCCTCATTTCACAGATAAGAAAATAAATAGCTACATACAAATGTCAGAGTCTGGGATCTGGGAAGATAGCTCAGTTGGGAGCAAAAAGACCAGAACCCAGTGCTAGGGTGTAGGGACAGATGGATCCCTGGGTTTTGCTTGATGGCCAGTCTAACCTACTTAGCAAGCCCCAGGTCAGGGAGACAGATCCTGAAGGTGGGCTGTGCCTGATGTTGACCTCTGACCCTCCCAGACACACACACACACACACACACACACACACACACACAGAGAGAGAGAGAGAGAGAGAGAGAGGGAGAGAGAGAGGCTGTTGGTCCTATTAAGATACTCATCCTCACACATACCTTTGATCCCAGTACTTGGGAGGCAGAGGCAGAGGCAGGACAGCCTGGGCTACATAGAGAAACCTTGTCTGGAAAACAAAGCAAAACAAAAAGATATGCATCACATGTCCTTTACAGTTAATCTCAGCACTTGACAGTGAGTCCCACCCAGAGTCCTTCCTTGTCCTCAGATCTCTGCCCTGAACCTTTGTTGGTGACTCTTCTGGCAGCTCACAATCACATTTGAGAACTGAGAGGAGGCCACCCTTCCACCTGTGCACCACCTGAACATACCCTGCACACACTGACTCCAGCAACTCCAGACTCAACCCCTGGGTTCCGATGGCTTGTTGCTCCTGACCTCCTGATTCTTGTTTGCTTTCTTTCACTTTAGAACAACATCCACTCCTTTGAGGGAGATGCTCCCTTCTCTCCTATAAGTGGTGAAAACATTCATTGGAGTCCTCCAATCCCACCCTCATCCTGGCATGGGTAAGGATTCAAGCCAAGCTAACTGGAGAGATGGATCCTGGGCCAGGGGGGTCTCCTTCAAGCTGGACCAGAGTTGGAATCTAATTGTGCAAGGCTCTTGACACACCCACACACCCTGTGTAGGAGAATGGTCCTCAAACAACCCAACCAGCCATGTTTCATACCACATGACACCAAATAGCCACTGTCTGGTTAGGATTTGTCTCTTGAACAAAGTGCATTGAAATTATTAGCCATGCAGTAGTCTATGATTTGGCTGAAGGAGAAAAAGATGAAAAGGACCGATGGTTCTCTTTTATTTAAAAAACAAACAACCCTCCACACAAATTCATGAATTCTTGGGGCTGGAGAGATAGCTTAGCTATTAAAAACACTTCTTAATGCTCTTCAGGAGGACCTGAGTTCAACCCCCCCTCACCATATATATATATATATATATATATATATATATATTCAGGCAAACACTCAGAGACAGAAAGAGAAATAGAGACACAGAGAACCACCCACTCACCCGGGGCAGGGGAGAAGGAGAGACAGACAGAATTTGCTGCTTTTGCAGAGGACACAGGTTCTGTTTTCAGAAACTACATGGTGGCTCACAAACATCTGTGTAACTTAAGCTCCAGGCAATCTGGTGTCCTATTCTAGCCTCCTCAGACAGCTGTATACATGTGTCACGTATACATACAGAGACATGTGCATAAATACAAATAAATGTTTCAAAACTCTGAATATTATTTATATTTAATTTCTGAGTTCTTGGCAAGATTTACAGTTCTAGGCATTGTAAATCACATACTTCCTCCTGGAGAAGGACTTAAATTCAGTCATCAAGCCATTAGTTACCCCACACCATCCATGCCACTATTATTGTACCCATAAGCACTCAAAGAATAAACCCAAGGTATCATGTTAGAAATATGATATTGAGAGGTTGGAGAGATAGCTCAGGTGTTAAGAGCAGTGCACTACTCTCTCAGAGGATCCAAGTCTGGCTCCCAGCACCCACATTGGAAACTCCAGTTCCAGGGAGCCAACGCCCTCCTCAGGCCACCAAGGCTACTGTATACATGTCCGACACGCACAGGCAGGCAAAAACACCCATACACATAAGATAAAAATATTTCAAAATTATGTTAAAATGTGGTATTAAACCTGAAATTTATAGCCAGGCATGGTTGCACCTCATCACTTAGGAGATGGAAGCATAAAGACCAGGAGTTCAAGGCCATCCTTGGCTATGCATCAAGCTCAAAATTGAGACCAACCTGGGCTTTGTGAGACCCTCTCAACAACAACAAAAAAATGCATGAATGAAAAAACACAGCCAGTGCTGGTGATGAAAGCCTACAATTTCAGGTGTGGAGAGGCTGACGCAGCAGGATTGTACGTCCAAGGCCTGTGGTGGTTCCAGAGTGTGTACGAGGTTACAGTCAATCTGGATAACCTAGTGAGGACTGTCTAGAAGGAGAAAGTATTAAAAAGGCTCTGTGGGGTTGACAAGATGACTCAGCAAGTAGAAGTGATTGTCATACAAGCCTGATCATCTGAATGTGATCCTAGAACCCATGTAAAGGGGGGGGGCCAACTTCATGGAGTGGTCCTCTGACCACATGTATGATGTATGACACACACACACACACACACACACACACACACACACACCATGCACACAACAATAATGTCCTTTTAAAAACATTAAAAGGGCTGTGGATGTATCTCAGCAGTAGGGCTACCCTAAAATCCCCCAGTGAGGGGCTAGGGGTATGACTCCGTGGCAGTGCTTCTGCCTAGACCCACCCAGTGAGGGGCTAGAGATATAATTCAGGGTAAAGCACTTGCCTGACATGGGAAAAGCCTGGGGATCATTCCCTAGCACCAAGTTCTGAAGCATGAAAAACATAATGGAGAATCTAAGTGTGATGGTATTCTCCCATCATTTCAGCATTCAGGAGGCATCGGCATCGGCATCGTGATTTTGAGGCCAGCCTGTCCTGTATAATGAAGCCCTGTCTCATAAGGAAGTGGGGAAGGAAAAAGTAAAACACATTTTTTTTTCATAAAACCAGATCCCTGGATATTTGAAAATTCTTACAAATTTTTGATCCTTTGAAGCAACTCTTCTGCTAACCCAAGTTGTCTTCTCCTCTTCCTCCTTTTCCTCCTCCTTTTTAAGGCAAGGTCTCATTATAGCCCAGGCTGGCCCTGAAGTCACTATGTTGCTGAGGCTGGCCTTAAACTCTCTATCCTCCAGCCTCAACCTCCTGAGTGCTTGGATGACAGACATGTGCTACCATGCCCAAGTCCCCCAAGTCTTTGTATAGTCACTCAGGCAATGTGATGTGTACAGAAGCCACAGGGACCTAGTCCCTCCCCACCAAGTCTGTTAGCAAGGTGTAGCCCTCTTCTCTCTTCTACCTCTCCTCCCCAAACACAGACCAAAATACAGTCAAGGAGTCAGCCAAAGGTGACGTTTATTAACACCTCCATCACCAGGATCAGTCCCTGTTGTTCATGGTCTTGTGGATCCAGTCACTGTAGTAGCAGATGTTTGTGTAGACACCGGGTTTTTCAGGTTTCCCACAGGGGTCTGAGCCCCAGGATGTGATGCCTTGGAGCACTCCATTGCACACCAGAGGACCCCCTGAGTCACCCTGAACAGGGGCAGAGTTGTATTTGCCTTAGAATGCCCACATTTTCCCCTTCTGCACCCAGCATTTAAAATTTTGCGTTATATTTTATTAGATAATGTGGTACATGGAGATGAGAGGTCAGCCGGGTTCTGGGGGGTCAAAGGCAGGTTGTTGGGCTTGAGTATCAGGTGACTTTACCTGCTGAGCCTCCTTGCACTGAATCCCTCAGCATTTAGTTTTGAGATATAGTCTCCTGTAGCCCATGTGCCCCAAACCCCCTATGTAGCTGAGACTGACCCTGAGTTTCTGATTCTCCTGGGGTGGCAGACATGCAACCACCACACCTGGTTTCTGCAGTGCTGGGGGTGGAACCCAGTGTTTTGTGTGTGGTAGGCAAACACTTTCCCAAGAATCACATCTCTTGGCCCTATAACCAGCTCTTCAGCATGGAGGAAAGGTTGGGTCCTTATAGTAGAGATGTGGTGGTCCAGAGGGAGAAAGTGAAGTTTCCAATGCAGAGAAGAGTTCTAAGGCTGATGGTCAAATTCCTGACCAAAGAGGGAAGAGAGTCAAGTGTCCAAAGTCTAATTTATCAAGGAGACACCAGGCTTTGTAAAAGGGGACTCAGATAAAAGCTCCATTTGGGGAGCACAAAAAAAAGTGCAGAGTCCTCATAGAGACAGAGGGAAAGATACCTCATGCACAGAACCAATCCCTACAGGGCAGTGGCAGGGGAGGGGGATCTTTGTGGACAGAGCATGGTCTCTAAGGCAGGCTGGACTGTCTTAGATGGGAGCAACATCATTGTTGGCCAGTGAAGAAGAAATGCATGCCTTTGATACTAATTATTAGGGAAGGGGATGGAGCTTCCATGAAAGGGTCAAAGCCAGGGAAGTCATAAGGACACAGACACAGTGCAGTTGACAGGAAAGAGACTATGACATCTGTGGAAAACAAATCCCATGAGGGCAGGATGGGAGGTCACCAGGCTGAGGGGGGCTGTTGGAAGTCTCTAATTCCACTCCCTGGCCATCCAGGAAGGCAATATTGATCCCCAGGACAAAATGACAGAAGGAAGCCTCCCTTGGGAACCCAGTGACTGAAACCCAGCAGTTTAGAGAACCACCGCTGGGAGCAAAGCATTGCCTAGTCCGTAGTTTCATATTGTCCTCCATACCCTCTGTCACATCTCCACAGTTTATTGTGTAGACAATGACTAACAAGAAAAGGATATGACCAGCAAGGCTCCTGAGCCCTCTAACCCCAACCCCACTGTGTGACCTTCTGGGAGTAGCTAACTTTCTCTGAACTCTGCCAGCATGGCACAGCTTCTCTACGTACTAATTCTTTTGGTTCACTCCCATCCACACCAAACTGTGAGGGGCAATTTCAGAGGTTACTCACCTGGCAAGTGTCAGCCCCATTGCTGCTGCCGGCACAGACCATGCCCTCCGTGACCTTCCCTGGGTAGGCCTTCTCACACTTGCTCTGGGAAAAGATTTCCACTTCTGCACAGTTGAGGGTATCTGGAAAGTTCTCTGAGGAGGAAGAGGTGGGAAGAAACAGGAACCCTTTCCCTCCATTCCATCTGCACTGACCTCCCACAGGGCCCATGACTTCACACACTAGTGCCCAGTGTGCTTTGTCTGTCTAGACAGCAGCCCTTGAGTCTTACCTTTAGTTTCTTGCTTTTAGTCATATTTAAATCTAGGGACAGATGATGGAGGGAATTTTGGAATATCTCTCTGTGACCTCTCCCTAACTTTCTTGTCACTAGGTCACTAGGTCCTTTATTTCATCTATAGTCTGCTTTTCCGAACATCATCTCCCCGTAGAAGCCCTTCCTGACCATTCTGATTAAGTACACCTATCTGTCCACACCTGTGAGTGTGTATGGGGAGGGGGCAGAGACAGGGAGAGGGAGAGAAAGAGGAGCAAGAGAGAAAGGAGAGGGGGAGAATGAGAGAGGAAAGAGAGAGGGGGAGAAGGAGAGAGAGTGCAAGTTGAATTCAAGCTCCGTGTACACTAAGGCAGGCACTGTATCACTGGGCTTCATTTCCAATCCCTTTTCCTTAATTTTCTTTCTTTTGAAGGCAGTCTCATGTAGCCAAGGTTGGCTACCAACTCTCTGTGTAGCTGAGTGACCTTGAACTCCTGATCCTCTGGCCTCCACCATCCAAGCAAGTATTGGGGTGACTAGTGTGCATGTCACATCACACTTTTTATTTTATTTTTATTTTATGACCCTCATTAAATTGCTTAGACTGACATTGACCTTGAGATGCTCAGCCTCAGTCCTGAGCACCTGGCAGGATAGCTCTGTGTGTTCCCTCACGGGGTGTGTATCTGCTCACCCTTCATTACTTTGCTCCATAGCACTTGCCTCTGATACTTCGTTACATGAGTTTGAGTTTTTTCTCTACTCCCCAACTAGGATGAGTTCTATAAGAGACTTCTAGTTTGCTCATGACTTTATGGTTGTGCAGTACGTGTTGTTCTCAGTATCTTGGGCATCCACATGTTAATGACTGACTGTGGATGTGTAGAGCAGGGGGTGTGATTCAGTGGTAGAGCTCCTGCCTAACAAAGTGCAAGGCCCTCAGGTCAATTTCTAAAAAATTGACAAAAAATTAATGACTGAAATTTACAATTAACTTTGCTATTAATCCATTTTAAGTAGAAGACAGGGAAAAGATCCAGAATCCATCTGCTTACAATCTCATGTAACCCTCAGAAAAGCACTTTGAAGGGGTCAGGATACATTCATTCATTTTGTCATTCATTCATCCATGCAGGGACATTTACCAAGCATTTCCAGGGTCTCAGGGAACTTCCAAGCACCAAGAATGGATGGGGCCGGGAATAGTGGCCTACACCTTTAATACTTGAACTTGGGAGGCTAAGACAGGTGACTCTCTGGGAATTCGAGGCCAGCCTGGTCTGCATAATTCCAGGACAGCCAGAGCTGCATAACATAGAGAGCCTATCTCAAAACAAAACAAAACAAAACAAAACAAAACAAAACAGATTGGGGCTGGGGAGATGCTCAGAGGTTAGGAGCATCCAGGTTCTGTTCCCAGCACCCACATGGTGATTTTAAGCTATCTATAACTCCAGTCTAGGACTTCCCTGACCTCTACAGTATGCATGGGGTACACAGACATAAATGCTAACACTCAGACACATAAAATAAAAAAAAAATAAATATAAAAAAGAACACAGATGAGTCTGGGAAAGATAGCTCAGGGAGTCAAGCCTCAAGCCGGATGGCCTGGCTTTGATCCTTGGGACATCATGGTAGAAGGAGAGGGCTCCCCCAGGTTGTCCCCTGATTTCACTGTTACCACAGACACACACACTAAATCAAACTAAAGAAAACAGAACCCTCATGGAGTGTGATGCCAATTGGATGCTGACTCCCTAAACATACTGGAGGAAATGAGGCAGGGGATGGAAAATGGCTCACGGGGCTGATGGAAAGATCCACCCAATTCCTCAGCATACATTTCCAAGCCACACAGTCTTGGTAGAAGTCAGACATGTAGGGACCTGACTGCTGGCATGGCCAATTCCTGGAGGGCCCATTGTCTCCCTGAGCTGAGCCCCACTTGTTCCCACTGTGAAGTTATGAGCTGAGGAACATTCTAGATACGCCAAAGTCCCAAAGAGACTGGTGTTTGGCTCATGAGTAAGAAGGGAGTTTGACCCCCTTGGATCATGGAGGCTGGGTGATAATGAAGGGTCTGGACCATGGGGAACAGAAAAGAAGGTCAGGGTCAGGCTAGAGCTTTGTCTGAGTCTACTAGAAAGGTTATATACAATGGAAGGGTGTACAACATGAAGGAAAGGAGTTTTCTTCTTTCTTTGAATTCTATTTAACGTTAATAAACTGTTTATCTCTTTCTCATTATCTGGCATTCAAGGTTTCTAATGTGGGCTACGGGTGAATGAGTGTGTTCGTGTGCGTGTGTGGTCAGCAGTTAATCATTGGTGTTGATCCTCAAGATGGATTCCACCTTGTTCTTTGAGCCATCAGTTCAGCTAGGCTGTCTGGCCAGAGAGTCCCAGGGATCCACCTGTCTATCTAGCTCCCAGTGCTGGTGAGGTGGCTCAGCAGGTGAAGGTGCTTGCTGTCAAGCCTCACAACCTGAGTTCCACCTCTAGGACCAGTAGGGTGGAAGGAAATAACTGATTCCTACAGATTGCCCTTTGCCCTTTCCATGTGTGCACATGCTCACATGCAAACATACACAAAAATAAATATAATTTTAAAACCCAAGCAGTGCCTATGCTTCACCACATATGTGTATTGACACAGGGTCTCTCATTGGATCTGATCTCACCCTTTAGGCTATGCTGCATGGCTAACGAACCCTGGAACCCACCTGTCTCCACCTCCTAGTATTGGGGTTACCAGTGCACGCTGCTACATGGGTGCTGGGGATCTGAACTCAGGTCCTCACTCTGGCTCAGCAAGCAATTTACTTACAGTCCTGCCTGATGCCCCAACATTCTCTCCCCTGTTTCATTAACCACCCTTAGGGTGTGTGTGTAGGTCAGGGCGTGTTGGGAGATGAGGTCTGCAATGGCTTGGGGTCCACTGGGCTGCCTGCCTTCTTGTCACGCTCTTAGTCAGGGCCCATCTCATTACCTCGAGGACTGGTGACAGTGCCCCAGCCGGATATGGTGCACTTCTGGCCAACTTTGGGACACTCTTCAGCCAGTTTGATGGACTTCACTTTGTCCCCGATGTTTGCTGAATGGCGCATTCGAATGAGCATGACATCGTGACTGTGATCCTCAGGGTTGCTACTGTTGTAACAAGGGTGCTGGATAGACTGAGCCACCTGGATCTCCTGTTCCGGCTTATCTCTGCTCTGCAGGCTGTGATCGCCCAGGCGCACTGAGTACTTCCTTCATAGAGGGGTTGGGGGTGGAGGCAGGATTGGAGGTATGTAGGCATTCCCTCCTACCCTTCTTCAGAACTCAGTCCTCTTCCACTGAGCCCAGGAGTCCAGGTCCTAGCCTGCCCGAGCCAGATCCAGGGGCGCTCCCTAACCCTCCTTCCTCAGACCCATGACTCTAACATCCTCCTCCTCAGACAGAGCCCCTGCCCCCTTCCCGCCAGCCCCACCCATCTGTGCCCAGCCCTGCACTCACTGTTTTTTGCAGTGGGCTGCAGTGAGGATCCACTTGTCTCCTACCAGGACACCCCCGCAGACGAGTCGCGGGCCCTGGAACAAGGCTGTCTGCCAAGGCTGGGAGTGGGGTTTGCACTCCTGGCCCTCCAGGACCTTGGACCCCTGAGCTTTGGTGAGTCCTGCATCAGGAGGGAGAAGGGTGGGTCGCCACCCTCTGGGGCAGAGCCAGGGCCAGGAAAGCCACTGTGGGTTCAAATGGACACACAGGCCAGTTCCTCTGCATGTCATCTCTTATGAATTCAACAGATAAGGTCCTGGCATCCATTGGAACACGGCCACATGGCCACACCTGTAAACTCATTGATACCTGAGAATCATCAACACTGGGCACAGCTCCTAGTGCTTCCACATATATTTAGATGGGTCTTTATATGTCCCCACACTCAAATTCCGTTCCTTGTCTGGCAGCCAACAAGAGTCCCTTTCGCAGCCATGCACCTACGGAAAACTCAAACTCCACCACCCCCACCGCTATGTTGTTAACTCTACCCACTTCCAAGAAAGGTCCTCAGTCCCCAAGACCACCACATGCACTCATGTCAGCAGGAGCTCACTCAGAGTCCAGTAGCCCCATCCTACTGAAGGCCCTGGGTGGTAGCGCCCATCCACCTCACCTGCCCACGTTCCCATCAGCAGAAACAGAAAGATCCACTTCTGGATTGCACAGGGTGGGGGGCGTCCCATGGTGGCCTCTGAGAAAGAGGGTGGAGCTGAGAGGATGTCCGAGGGAGGAGCCTGAGATCTAGTTTGGGGAGCCAGGGGAAGGAGGTGTTTCCGGAGGATGGAGTTGGGGGTCTCAGGAAGCTGGGGCAGAGCTCTAGATCCCGGAATTTCTCTGTGGGGGACAGCTTGCTGGCAGGATTCCCGATATTCTGAAGGAAAGAGGTCGGGCCCTCTCGTGGGATGGCGGAGAAAGATCTGAGGCTGTGACTCCAACCTCCTGGGGAGGAGGGAACTAGGAGGCCCGCCTGAAGATCCTGAGCGAAAGGATGTGAGGCTTGGGGGTCCTGGGCTCAGGAGAGGGGGAGATCTCTGCGCCCGAGATCCATGACTGGGGACCTCTGCGCCTCACCTTCCAGAATGCAGGGGGCGGGGTCACTCGGACTCGGTGGAAGAGGCCCCCGGACTTCCTTCGGTGTGTTGGGTGCAGGATTTTGCAGCCTTTTAACTAGGAAGCCCTGCCCCTGGCTCCGCCTCCCGCCGGCACCTGGCGGCGGTGCTGCTGAGCCCGCAAGCGCGAGAGGAGGGGCGGGGGCTGGAATGACTTTAGGAAGAGGGGCCGGAGTGTCGGAAGCCGAGGTGAGGTCTGGAGGGGCTATGCACCGGACCCCCGGGCTAGAACGGGAAGAGCTGGGTCAGAGAGAGGGAGGCAGCAGGAATCTGTCTCCTGGGTCTGCGGGAGGAGGGCTGGGTCTGCACCCTTGGGTCGAAGGGAAGAGGGCTGGTATTTGGATTTCTGGGTCTGAGAGAGGCGGACCGGAGCCTAGACTCGAGTGTGAGGGAGGAAGGTGGAACCTGAATCCCTGAGCCCGGGAGAAATGAGCTGGGCTTTGAATAGCTCGTCCGAACCTCTGGGTCTGGGGAAGGAGGGTTACGATGTGAACCCCTGAATCTTACGGTGGAGGCTGAATCTGAAGGAGGAGGACTGGGGTGTTCTCCAGGGTTAGAGGGAGCAGGGCACTATTTCTGTCGGAACTGAGTTTTGTGGAAGGTGGGGAAGGCGTGTGTTGTGGTTGGGGACTTTGAGGGTGGATCAGCAGCCGGCCCGGGGCATCTGGGTAGGCAGGTTCGGGTGGCGCTGTGACCTGGTTTCCCCTTCTCCCTGGGGCGGCGGGACCAGCCCTGGCTGAAGTCCCAATGTGCTGCAATAGGCTTGCTGTTAGGGTCAGCACAAAGGTTCGGCGGGTGTCGGTTCCCTTATTTGCCTTTTCCTTCCCACCTGCGAGCACCCTTAACCGCACATCACAGGAGATAGGAAGTCACCGCCCCTATGGTTTATTCTGATTCATTCAGTGGCTCTGGAAAGATCAAAGCCCCCATCAAACCCACAACACAGCCTGGGCAGAATCCCAAACCGCCCGAAGTCCACGTGGGCAGAGTTCACGTAGGCCTGACGTCACCAGAGGTGGGGCCACACGGGGGGATGTCCAGAGAAGACATCCCATACGGTAAAATTGGAGGGATACAGCTATTTAGTAAAAGATGTTTCTTGGCGGTGATCTTGAGGATTGGGCTACTCCAGAGAGTGGTGATTAAAGTCATGTAGTCTGGGTCAAGAGCAATGGAGGAGAGTCTCTGTTGGGCTTTGAGGGGGCGTGATCTTATTATAATTGATTTGCCTGGGAGCGGAACCTCAGAGGGCAGATGACCTAAGAGGGTGGAGTCTTGGGGCGGAGCCTAAGGAGTGGAATCTGAGTGGCAGAGCCTGAGGGGGCGGAGTTTCATTGTGGGACTGTGACACAGAGGCTGGAGGTCTAGAGTGAGAAGCTGGGGCTGTGGAGTCCTACAGCATCTTCCCGTCCTGCATCCATTTTCCTCTCCAGTCTGTCCTTAGCATGGACTCAGTTTTCTTCCATGGTTTTTTGAACCCAGTCCCGGTAGTGGCACACGCTGGTATAGACAGCGGGTCTCTGGGGTCTGGAACAAGGCTCAGATCCCCCAGACACTATACCCGCCAGGGTTCCGTTGCACACCAGGGGTCCCCCAGAATCACCCTGTGAATGGTGAAGAGCAGAGCTGTTAGCTGGGTCTGTTCATGAGAATCGAAGCTTCTTTCTAAGAAAGCCTTGTTTCCTGCCTTCAACACCCTGGAGGCCTGGTTTGCAGTCTCTCCTCCCTCAGACGCAGGAATAAAATCTCACAGACCTCACCCCTACCCTACCATGTAGCATCTTGGACTCCCAGAATCCCCTAGAACTCAGCCTAGCTCTCCAGGACCCTTCTTCCCTAGGTCCTGGAGTCTGTGCTTCCAGCCATCTCCTACCCTAAGGTCCAGAGAAAGGCCTCCATCTCCCTGCAGGGGGTGGCTCACCTGGCAGGAGCCTCGGCCGCCCTCCCACAAGCCAGCACACAGCATCTTCTCGGAGATGTGGCCTGGGTATGCCCAGCGACAAAGTCTGTTGTCCAGGATGCTGATGTTGGCGCACTGTAGGGTCATTGGGTACTGTACTGTTGGGGAAGAAGGTAGAGGATGGAGGATGTTCTCAGGGTCCTGGGCAGCATCCTCTAGAACCTCCTCTGCAGCCCTTCCTTCCCCAGGACTCCTGCAGGGCCACAGGGCCAAGACTCAAAGATGGAGGTAAGAGATGTCAACCCAGACAGTCACAAGGCTGGAGAAGAACAGACATCTAAGAGGGGGAGAAGACCAAAAGGGAGAGGGCAAGAGAAACAGGAAGATGTGTGTGTGTGTGTGTATGTGTGCAACTCACAGGGCAGGGTGAATAGAGACTAGGGAGGGAGATGGACACCCCTGAGGGGAAAACCACCATCAGAGGCAAATGGCAAGGCAGACAAGCAGAGAAAGGGGCCAGAGATGTTACAGGAAGCGGACAGCACAGTGGGAGTACTTGGTTTCTTGCAGATAGAAATCTCTGGCGTGTAGCCTCTACTACTAACCTGAGGGGTAGCCTGTATTATTGATTCTGCTAAATAGGTACTATTTCGAGAGTATGAACACCTTTTTTCCCATTCTTTGAATTTTACTATTTGTTTATTTATACTTATTTTTGATTTTTGAAACAGAACCTCACTACGAAGCCTTGGCTAGAACTTCCTATGCAGACCAGGCTGGCTTCAAATTCCTTGAGGTATCTGCCTGCCTCTGCCTCCCAAGTCCTGGGAATAATGACATGTACCATACCCTGCCTTGGATTTTCTCTCTGTGTGCATGTGGTTCATGCATATGTGTGGAGTGTACACCACTGTGTATGAGTATACAGAGGCCAAAGTCTCCTGGCCTGCCACTCTACTTACTATCCCCTTGAGACAAGGTCTCTCACTGGAGCTAGGATGGGAGACACATCCCAGGGGGAGGCTGGGGAGAAAAAAAAGGAGGAGGGGATGAAGTGGAAAAAGAAAAGGAGGAGGAGGGACGGAGACGGAAAAAGGGAAGAGAGGAAGGAGGAGGAGGAGAGGAGAAGGAAAAGGGGAAGAGGGGAAGGAGGAGGAGGAGAGGAGAAGGAAGAGGAGGAAGGAGAAAGGAAGACGATGAGGAGGGGGGAGGGGAAGATGGAAGAGGACAAAGAGGGAGAAGGAAAAGGGGAGGAGAAAGAAGAGATTTAGGAGGAGGAGGAGATGAAGGGACTGGAAGAGCAGAGAGGGAGATGGTAAGAAATGAGCAGACTCAAGGGAGTATCCATACATTTGGAGCTGGACACGCTGCCCCAGCCAGAGATAAGGCACTGGGAGCCCACGGTCGGCAGGCTCTGGCTGAGGTTGAGGGGCTGCACAGCTGCACTCATCTGGACCTTCCTAGGTAGCCTGATCAGCATGATGTCATCATTGTGGTCATTGGCAGAGAGATCCGAATTGAACCCAGGATGGGGGAAGAAATCCGTGGCCAGAAGCAGCTTCTCAGGGCCCTCCCACTGCCACAGATGATGCTCCCCAAGGCGGACCCACAAATACCTGTGAGGACAGACCAGAGACTAGTATGGGGACAGGTGGCTCAGCACCCCCACCCCCGGAGGTACTGTGTGCCCCTCCACAGCTATACACCCTCTCTGGGGCTCTTAGCCTACTTTGTGGAGTCAACCACCTTCTTCCCTACCTGACCTGGGGCCTCAGTGGTGACCTGGGTCCACTGGAACTTTGTGGATGCATGGGGACCCCACCTACCACACAAAAACAACCCCACCCCTGCCCCCACAGGTCTGGTGGCTTCTGTGGGAGTGGCTTTAAGTGTTTTCAAGTGTATGGAGGGGGGTGGGACATGGAAAACTTCCAAGTTTTCTAAGAGGCCTTAAGCCACTCCTACCTGTAACATCGTTTATCAACCAGGCGTTTTTTCTTGCTACAGCCCCAGAAAACTTGTTCTGGTCTGAGAGTCCATGCTGTGGACATTTGGGGACTTTCTAAGATCTCCATGTCCCCTAGCCTCCAACCTTTGATGGTGATGATTGAAAATTCAGGGTTTGGGAAGTATGAAGTGTTATTTCTGTGTCTACCCATTTCTGACACCCTAGGGGTGCAGAAGTTAGCCCTTTCATGCCATCTAGACTTCCTGACTCTTTTTCCATCTCCATAGCCCTGCCTTTTCTCCTCTTATCTTGGGGGGGGTGGGCGGCTGGCTAAATCAACACATTACTCTCTCAGCCCAAGATGGTGTCCATCTTGGAGGGATGCATATTGGGAAATTCCTGGTGAGAATGTTGGAACAGCCTGGGTGACCTTGGCCAGGCAATGAACAGAGAATTCTTTCACCTCATGGGGTCCAGGACCCTAGAACATCCAGAGTCAGGATCCTAGAGTTGTAAGAGCCTAATACCTCATTGTCCATGCTTTCTGGGATTCTGTGATGCTCAGCTTAGGGAATTGTATAAATCCACGCTTCTAACATTCTGCATCTCGTTTCATCACGAAGTCTGAGATGTTAGTCCTGGATGAGTGCCTGTCATCCAGTACTCAGGAGGTGGAGTCAAGAAGAACAGGAGTTCAAGGACATCTTTGGCTGCATAGCAGGTTCA